CTATGGCTCTAATAGCTCTGACCCCAGGGCAACTTTATTTATTAACATAAAATTAAAATAACATTTCAGTACAAATAAAATATCACCACATTTCCCATTATTACATTTACAGAATTTTATTTTAATATAAACTCTAGGATATTTTAAAAAATTTAAACCTTCATTAATGATTTCATAAGTTTCTTATCTTTATGTTTCTATTTTGTATACTACTGTGATTTGAAAGCAGAGAATACTGGAAAATGCTATATCACACATTACTATATCATACATTGCTATATACACATTGCTATATCATACACCATTGTATGGTGTTTTTCTCCAGTATGAATTTTCTAATGTCTCATAAAATTCAAAATATGGATAAAAGATGCATCAGTCTTTGCATTTGTATGGTTTCTTTCTAGTATGAATTTTCTGATGTGCACTAAGGTTAGGAGCACCTTGTAAGATTTGTCACATTTCTTGGAATTCTAAGGTCTCTCTCCAGTATGAACTCTCTGATGTGTTCTAAGATGTGAGTTCCAGTTAAAGGATTTGTCACATTCCATACTTTGTAAGCTTTCTCCCCAGTGTGATCGCTCTGATGTCTTCTAAGATTTGAGCAATTGGAAAGGGATTTGTCACATTCTTTACAATTGTTACGTCTCTCTCCAGTATGAACCCTCTGATATCTTATAAGATTTGAATAGCAGATATAGGATATGTCACAGTCTTCACATATGTGAAATTTCTCTTCAGTATGAAAATTTTGATGTTTCTTTAAACCACAGATTGGGCAAAAGATTTGTCACATTCCTAACAACTATACGGTTTTTCTCCAGTATGAACTCTCTGATGTTTTCTAAGCTGTGATTTGAAGGCAAAGGACTCGTCACATTCCATACATTTGTAAGGTTTCTCCTCAGTGTGAAGTTTTTGATGTCTTTTAAGATTGTTACGATTGGTAAAGGATTTGTCACATTCCTTACAACTGTAGGGTCTCTCTCCAGTGTGAACTCGCTGATGTATTTTAAGACCTGCAGTATTGATAAAGGACATGCCACAGTCTTTGCATTTCGGAAGTTTCTCTCCAGTATGAATTTTCTGATGTGCTCTAAGATATGTGCAACTAGCATAAGACTTGTTACATTCCTTACATCTGTAAAGTTTTTCTCCAGTGTGAACAACCTGATGTCTTTTAAGATATGAGTGTTCGCTAAAGGATTTGTCACATTCCTTACATTTGTAAGGTTTCTCCCCGGTATGAATTTTCTGATGTCTCTTAAGGGTTGACTCCCAAGTGAAATTTTTGTCACACACCTCACATTTGTAAGGCTTTTCACCAGTATGGATTCTGGAATGCCTGTTAAGGTGTGATAATTTAAGGAAGGATTTATCACAGTCTTTGCATTTGTGAGACTTCTCTAGAGAATGAGTTTTCTGATGGCTACTCAATAATGAAGAGTGGGTAAAGGATCTGTCACACTCATTGCATTTATAAGGCTTCTCTCCAGTATGGAGTCTGTAATGGCTTTGAAAGTGTGAAAGCTGATGAAAGACCTTGCCACATTTTTCACAACTATAATATCTACCAGCAGTATGCATTTTCTGGTGTTTCTTGAAAGTGGAAGAGTGGGCAAAGGATTTGTCACAGACCTTACATTTGTAAGGTTTCTCTCCTGTATGCCTTTTCTGATGGCTAATAATTCCTGACAACTGACGAAATGACTTTCCACATTCTTTGCATTTGAAAGGTTTCTCCCCAGTATGAAGTCTTTGATGTGTTTTAAGTTTTGAGCATTGGGAAAAGGATTTTTCACAAACTTTGCACTTGTAGGGTTTAACTCCAGTATGAATTCTCTTATGTTCACTGAGGTATGAGGAAACTCTGAAGCGTTTCCCACATTTCCCACATTTGTATGGTTTCTCTCCAGAGTAGATTGATTGTTGCATAAGACTGTGTGCAGAGCTGAAATCGTCATCATATTCTCCCTGATCTTGAGTAATGTTGGAACTCAAATTTAAGGATTTCTCATGGTCTTTAGATTTGCAAGGTTCTTCTCCAGTGTGCATGCTTTCATGTCTGTCTGGGTTTGATGAGTCATTAGAGGCATCCCTGTGATTACTGTATCTTGAGTTATTAGAGTTTTCTGTAGTTTCACTTGTTCTATAAAGTGCACATATGGAGGGGTCATGAAGCACTTTGCCAAGCTCAGTACACTGACAAGACTCCTTTTCAGTCTTCACATGTTGATAGACAGGATCACAGTTCCAATAGTTCTCTGAAAATGAGTACAGTTCAGATTAATAGGGTTTGTTCCAATAATAAACGTGATAAATCATGGTCTCCCTAAGTTCTGTTTTAACATAAGTGAACCTGGAAGTACTTAGAGTTCCCAGTAATGCACATTTTTCATTCACTGTATGGATTCAATGTACGGATTCTCACAAAAACAGCATGACAGCCTTCAAGGGTCAATGATTTGTAATAGATAGCCCATCTCTAACTGGGAAAAAAGATGGAAAAAGTAATTTACAGCCTTGAGTTAGCTTTGGGATAAGCTCATGGAGATTATATTTAGAAAACATGTCTCTATCTTTAAATATTTCTTCTCAGAAATTAATGAAAAGGAGTTTAATCCAATCCCAGGTTCACAGTATTTAAACTTACTATGTAATAGGAAAGTAGGAGTATTGTTCAGAAGACCCGATTTGTTTAAAGATTAAAGTCTTAAAAGCATCAAAGGGTTTGTTTTTGTCTATAGAAAAACACATTAGATTAATCAAAAGTAATGGATGCAAAGACAGAATTCTGGCAGACATCGGAGGCTTTAGATCGTTTGAGGCAGGGCTGTTATGGGCAGCTACGGCTTATTTCTATCCTCCAGTGTCTGAGCTCCACACACTGCTCTATTTCTTAGCTTTCCTCATAGGAGTATTCTCGAGTCCACTCTTTATACCGACTCATGAGATTATTTCCCATGAGGGTGTCTGTATTCTCCACTGGCAAGAAAATGAAGAATGTAATATGAAGATATGCATACAAGGAATACAATTACAGAATAATCCTACTTCATGGACTCAGGTTAGAGTTAAAATTTTGTAAAATTATTCTGTTTTCAGCAGAATCAAATAAAACTGCATGTTGTACTAGTATTAAGTCACCATATATCAGGAGTAAGAGACAAGCCTTCTAATAGTTATTACAACACACAGGATACCTCCTGGGCCAGGACACTACAGTAAGTTAAATGATCAGGAATTCTTTCAAGTGGCATTGAATATCACAAACCATTCTCAGCTCTTGCTTTCTTTTATGGAAGCCTTCACTGTTGTCCTGCTCATTCACTAGTCCACCCTAGTTGTGGCTACTCCACATTCATCTCCACATTCCAGGTCAATCTCATTCTTTCCAATACAATACTGTACTCAGCACAAAACAGAGGTATTTAGGCAAGATTTCTTGATTGATTTTTTTTTCTCAAATTCTTTAGTATATTTAGTGTTTTCAGTATCTTGAACTTTTCTCAAAATTAAAACCATGTCAATAGTGATAATGGATACACAGCTCTAGAATATGAGTGGAAATATTATATGTTACTGAGTTTATTATGAATCTTGAAACCAAAATGAAAGATGTATGACACCTCTGAAATGGAAAATGGAAAGAGAAAACTAAATAGCATGAAAAAGTTCTCTCCTACTATTAAACTTTGCCTTGTCTCCTGTTCGCTTTTTCAAGACAGCTTAACAGATTTTACGTCCTATGAAGTCAACAAACAAAAGATGGGTTAGGAATTCTACAAGCAAAATGTTCTTACCCACAAAAACCAGGTTTTTGTAATTCTCCAACATCACATCAATGTACAAAGCCCTCTGTGCAGATTCCAGGCAATCCCACTCATCTTTCAAAAAGTTGACAGTCACATCCCTGAATGTCAACACACCCTAAAACAAAAAAATATGGTTTGACTACATGCTATCTGGAAGTGTTTTCCTAGATATAAGGAGAAAGAATGTAGATGATTGAAAATAATTACTCAAAAAGATGATTTCCAATACAGTGACATTCTCTCATGAATGTTCAAACGCTGTGGAAACAGAATGAAACAACAGTCTTACAAGCAGTATACATGAAACAAGAAATACATTTAAGGTCTGGACTTGGTTAACTATTTGTTATTGGATGGTGTGTTTATGGAGACATGTCTCAGAAGTAAAATTCATGATGAGGAAATGTGCTTTAACTGCTGTAACTGTAGATCATGCCAAAACACTGACACAAATCAATCCTGTGTGTACTTGGGCCTTACATGACTATTCTGACAGGCTCAGTTGGGATGTTTAAACTCTAGGTCCAATGCCACACCATTAAACAGCAAAGGGGTAGGTATGGAAGACAGAATATATGACTGATTTTATAGACAAATAGTTTTGTTTTTTTCCACAGTAGCAAGGATTGTAACAGCAGTACATACTGTCATTTTTAACACTAACATGTAAGATAAGTAGTCTATGGAATTAAATTTTTGAGACTATTTGGGTTACTATAAACAGACAGAAAAATCTGCATGAGCCATATATAATACAAATTTCTCCTAAGATATGCATAAGCCAACAGACACAAATAATAATTTCAGAAGTTTGTTTGTTTTTTTTTTCTTTTTTTGGTTTTTCGAGACAGGGTTTCTCTGTGTAGCTTTGTGCCTTTCCTGGAACTAACTTGGTAGCCCAGGCTGGCCTCGAACTCACAGAGATCTGCCTGCCTCTGCCTTTCGAGTGCTGGGATTACAGGTGTGTGCCACCACCGCCCGGCAGAAGTTTTGAAGAATATTTCACTAGACTCCCAAAGAGTAATAAAAACTGAGGGAAGTCCAAAAACACCTCATAAAAGGTTTCAGGTATAGCTAAGAGAATCTGTACCAGTGACTCTTTGGATAAGTTTTATAGCAACAATTTACCAAGAATTAAATTCATTAAATACTGAAGAAATAAAACTGCAAATCAACAAATGGGCAAATGAAGTAAATAGACACTTTTCAAGACAGACCTTCAAATGGCCAATAAACATTGCAAAACAATTCAGCATCCCTAAAAGGCCACTGTGGAAATGCAAATGCAAACCAATTTAAAATACTGCCTCACCCCAGGCAGAATGGCTGTCATCAACCAATCTGACAACCAGTGTCAAGGGGATATAGAGAAAGGCAGCCTTATTCACAGTTGAATTGCTGTAAATTAATACAGCCATTGTAGAAATCAGTTTTGAGATTATTGAAAAAATTGAAGAGAGAACTAACATATGACCCAATTCTTTCACTCCTGGACATTTATCCAGAAAAAAACATACCCCAATACAGAGATATTTATAGCCCATGTTTACTACTGTTTTAATCACCAAAGGAAAAGTACTGAAATCAGAATAATTATCTATCAATAAATGAATGAATAATGAAAACTGTATAAAATAGAGGACAATTCAGCTAAACAGAAAAATAAAATAAAAATTTGTAGGAAAATGGATGGACCCAGAATGTGTAATATTAAGTGTGGTCATATACTTTTAGAAAGAAGACACCACACTTTTGCTCATATGAAGAATCTACCCAAAAATATATGTATATAGAAACAATGTATATGTGGACACATTATAACATAGAAAAAAAGAACAGGAAAGGTTAAATTATGAGGGACTGAATGCAGATAATGAATGCCAGTTATGAAAAATAATATAAAGATAAGTGTTTTTCAAGTTCTAATTCTATCTAAGGCTTTTGGGGTTTTGGTGGTGGAAAGTAAATCAAAATATATTCAATTGTGAAAATATAAAATCCCATGTGCGGCTCTAGAGCTTCTGTTCCCTATGACAACTCTAATTGTATAAAAGTACAATGAGTTGTATAGTTTTTGAGTGTGCTTAATTTCAGTAGGTGATGGTATTGTCTGTTTACAGAATTGTTCATAATAAAATTTTAAAAATTATCAGAAGCAGAAAATTAAAGGCTTTTAATACATGAAAGTACAACATATTTAGATAAAGAATAGAAAGGACCACTGACCTGCGACATGTTCACTCGAGAATCAGCCATTTCTTATGTTTCTCTTCTTTGAGTTTCTCTTTCAGGAACAATCAATAGATGGTTGCTTCCCTTTCAAATCAAGGGGTCAAAATGGAAGAGTTAAAATTAATACTGAAAACTGTTAGAGAACAATGTTAAACCACATGAAAAGACCCAAGCAACAGAATTCTACCAGGTGTCTAGTCAATGATCCCAAAGGCAGGAGAGCACGAAAAGACATTTGAAACTTGAAGAGAAAATCACCATCAAGTATCCTGTAGCACAAATTTAAGGACTCTGTTAAAATTGATGGAGACATAAGTGCATTTCAAGATAGTCACCAATTAACACAATTGATTTCACTAAAGCAGCACTCAGGTAATAAATTAGAGGCAAAACATACATAGGAGCATCAAAGAATCATCCATGAGAACATGGGAAATAATAAATTTCATGCAAAGAATAGAGAAATACAGGAGAATTGGAGAGTAATCATCCATGAGCAAGACAGCAAATCACTAGTTCTAAAAAGAAGGAAGAATACTACCTGGTGTGTGTGGGGGTACCCACCACCCCCACATTTCCCCTGAGTGCTCTTGAGTGGGAGCAGCAGAAAATATTAGATAGAGGACTTAGAGTGTAGCGATAAACAGAAAATACAGGATAGCCTTGAGAGGGCGTGGAACCTATTCCAACAGGCCTAGATTGTCTCTGCCCTAGGGTATTTATAGAAATGTCAAGGGGTGGAGCAAAAGATCTCACCCCAGCACAGCCAAGTGCAGACCATCTCAGACACCTGTACTCAGGCCTGTGGTCCAATCATCCTCTCTATGCGGACCTTCTGGGTAAAGCCACTAGGAAACCTGAAGATGGGCTCCTACAACTACCAAAGATCCAACCAGCCACAACATAAAACAAAACCACTGGAAATAAAAACACCATGAAAAAAAAAACGAGCCACACTAAAAATAAAAATAGAGAATCCTCAATTAAATAAACAAACCCTCAAGTTAAAAAAAATTCAGCACATGGCCCAGCTGTTCCATTCTTTGACGTACACCCAAAGGACTCTATATCCTACTTCACAGATACTTGCTAAGCTTTGTTCATCACTGCTCTACTCACAATAGCTATAAAAAGGAAACAACCTAAATGTCCTTCAACTGAAAAATGGATAGAGAAAGTGTGGAACATATATGCTATGGAATACTATTCAGCTATAAAAAAATTGAGTTAGAAAAGAACATATCAAGTGAGGTAACCCGGACCTAATAAGAAACAATGCATGATCTCTATCAGAGTAAGTTCTTAGCTCCAAATCTTCAGATTGCAAACACAACCTGGAGTGACTGCAGTAACCAGAAAAGTAAAAAGAGCACTGTGGGGTGTGGGGGAGTAACAGAGATGGAGTAACAGGGAACAGGCGATATGAAGGGGGAAATGTAAATACAGATATGAGGATTTAATTATGGGGAAAGGACAGATTAAACACAGAAGAAGGAGGGTAAAATATCAGTCTGGAAAACTAATAAGGAATTCATCTATTCCTTGACTATTATTCACCCAACAAAAAATGCCTGTAATATGTAAAAGTCTCTATAAGCATACACACTTAGAGTATAAATAAAAATTTCCCAACTGCTCCAATGATTCAAACATTGCAGGGTACTGCTATTGTCCATGGTTGCCTCCCAGAGGCAGAAGTTGAGTCCCTAGTGTTGAAGTAGCCACACACTTGCAGATATCCTAGAGGACCCCAGATGTAACTGACCATAAAGCTCCCTGCCTGGGAACTAGCTTTCATGATACCAGAAGGTAACATGCAACCTTCCAAAGGAGGAAGCCAGCCAAAAGTCCTACCCAGCTATGATACCTATGAACCACAATGACCTGCATGACATGATAGCCCTAAGGGTACAAGAGTGGCACACATAATTAGGTGGTGACCTCTTTTCAACAAGAGGAAAAACTTGCCGTGTATTGGAAACCTATCCTGTTTCCCCAGGGCTAGTAAAGGCATAGATCTTGGAAGAGAACCTACAACCAGTACTTTACTAAATCAGCATAAGTCCTTACTGAATTCTAAATATTTATCCTAATTTCCAACAGACAATAGGAGACAGTATAGATGGAGTGTAGCAGGCTGTAAATATACTTCCTGAGTCTTATCTAAACTCTGTTGGCATTATTATCAGGAACAGAGACAAAAACACTAAAAGGTAGAAAATGTGCTAGAATACCAAAGCTCCAAAATTCTGAGAACAATAAACCAAGAGGTATTAATTGTCATCATTTTTATAATAAATAATAATGACTCAATAATGGTATGAAAACATTATCCATAATGTGAATGAATATGGACAGCATCACTCACATGCATAGTCAAATAAAATTTTATTTGATTCCATTATCAATTCTTCTGAAGAAAGCTTTCTCACACCTACATTAGGATAATCCTCAGTGGAAGTCTCCAGAATTATTTCTAGTGAAACAGAATGTGGCAAAACTGATTTCATGTTCTACTTCCACATTCACTTGATCCCCTTTCCAGTCCTTCACCAATGTCTCCACCATACCTGGATCCTTAGCTCCTGTCTCCTCTCTCCTTCCAGGCCACTTTGTTCTGCTGCACAGGTGAGCAGATCTGGGTGATCAGTTAGCTCTGCACATGGGAAACAGATTGTTCAGGAAGCACCTGGATTTCTAACACAGGACTGCGCTCAGGAGATGAAGAAAAAACTAAACACAGGATTATAGAAATGATTCCCCAACTGTCCTGCAGGGTCAGAATACAGAAAACGATTAGAAAGAACTTTTAGTTATAGTAACTTGATTCCCACTTCCAGTCACAGCTCAGTCAAAACTCAGGGGCAGAAATGGAACTGAATGATTGGGAAGAGAATTTTATACATTAGTGAAGTCTGAATTGATCATGAACCAATAATGATGAAGCCTTACACCTCCCAAAGGAACACATACTCAGAAGAGAGAACATTTCATCAAATTTTTCTTTTTTCCTCAGAGGATTTCACTTTATTCTGTGGGATGTGAGACTCATCCACACAAAGCTCACACACTTGCAGATTAGTTTGTGAAGAGATACTGAGGAGGAGCAAGGGAGACTGCAAGCAAACAATTCGCAGCCACAGAACATCCAGTGTCAGCAAGTACAAAGCCCTCAGGGCAGGGTCCAGGCCTTGCCACACCTCCTGGGAGAAGTCCACAGTCACACCACTGCCTGTCAACAGATCACAAAATAAAAACAGTTCGAATCGTCCTGTAGGTGCACAAATTTAACCCTAGCATTTAACGGGTGGGTGGAACTCTGTGTTCTCCCGTCCAGACTGATCTACATGGTGAGTTCAGGCCAGACAGAGCAACACTGTGAGTTCAGGTCTCAAACACAGCAAACACAAGAACTAAAAAATAACAGTTTGGTCATGTGTCCATGGACAGAGTGCTTTTCTTGGACCAAGGAGACAAAAGACTATTGTAGACATTTTTCTGATTTAAGTAAGTTATCGTAATTATTCAAAAGATGCTTTCTAATATCATTCTGTACTATAATGCCTTTATTTGTTTGTTTGTTTTTGTCTTCTATCTTTCCCTGAAACAGTGTTTTTCTGTGTAGTGCTAGCTGTCCTTGAAGTCACTATGTACACCTTACCAGCCTCCAACTGATTGTGATCCACCTGCCTCTGCCTTCTGAGGGATTAAAGGCCTGTGCCACCAGGCCTGGCAGAGACACTTTTCAGAATGTTGTATTTACATCCCAGTGTGCATATGTCTCAGACGGAAAATTAATGGTGGATAAAAGTTTACTTTTAAGTGTTAATGTTTACAAGTGTATTGTGAAACTCGCAAAATACACACACACACAGATATATATATATATATATATATATATATATATATATATATATATATATATA